TTAAAGACTTGCTATTAGGCTTAGGTTTAGCCATGGACTTACACCTTCTTCCTGCAAAACAGCTTCATTTTAACAGTAGAATGTTTTGTTTAGATTTTTAAAAATATCTACAATTGAACCGTCTAAAAATCTGATTAGTTTTGAAAGAAAAAGGAAAAAGCAGCCTAGATGTAAAAATGCAATCGGTGTTATTGTTTTGGTGTCAGCCTGTCGTGACTCTGTGTCCAAAAAAAGGTTTGGTTCCTCCCTTAAGTATGTTTGAGACGTTGCTTTCATAGATCCTCTAGTTTAGAAGCATACAATTAGAGCTTTTCTTAACAAAAAACAAAACAAATATATTTTATACTTAAATGGAGAGTTTCGAACTATCAAAAATGTATTTTTCAGGATGTTAGCGTTGAAAACTTAGTTGGCAGATTTTCCAGATTCAACATAAAAAAATTTAGCTGGTGTTTTATTATTCTTAAACAGAGGTGTGCTTCTTCTTTAGTGGTTAGTCAGTAAGTAATGAGGCCACAGTGACTTGTGATTGTGCACCAGCGAGGACAGTAGCTTTCATTTGTCCATGCAGCTTCACTTAGACTGAGATACAGTAATGACAGACAAATGAGTTTGCTGTCTGAAAAAGCAACCAGCAGTTATGTTAAGGGATCTGGTTTCCAGAGATCTATTTATGATCATCCAGAATATTCTGACCATTTCTAACGTTGACCATAACTATAACCACAGCCTTGGGTTGTACAGATACACTGGGTATAAAAGCATTAAGCTTAATGCTTTCTGGGTCAAAATAAAAATTAGGTTACAAATATTGCAAAATATCTGCAAGGAAACAGGTGCCCTGCTTTTAATAATGTCCATCTCTTTATTTGTTTTTAAGTGATTAAAGACTGAATCCTCTATTAGGTCAGACAACCTTGAAGTGTAGAAGCATTTTATTGCTTTTACCTAGATTTCTATACCTGTCGCCCTATTGCTTAGAGGCTGGAACAACCAACCCTTGAAGAAACAGGTGATTGTTCTGGGTTATATTTATCCTATTCATCATTTCTTGCATTACAGGCATTTAAGATGAGTATTTATCAGGAATGATGGCTCTTCTGCCAAACTTGTAGAGACTGTGATGCAGCTTGTATGTGAATATATCTATAAATATCAACTTACACCCATGCAGCTCCATATGATTACACCTCCACCTCCATGCTCATCGTGTCCAGATTGTGCACATTGTTCCCTATTAGTGGAGTCATTTCTTAATATGATCTCCCTTTGTCTGGTCTAATTGTGTTTAGTTTATTTTTCCACGTAAGAAGAAACGGGAGTCACACCTTAAGGCTGATGTAGACCAGTTAAAACACAGAATTTATTTTACACTGTTTAATATGGACTTCTAATTTAATTTCAATGGAATAAAAATCCTAACAATAGCAGCATAGCTATACTTTTGAGCTAACCCATTGTAAAATTTAGACAGATCTAAAAAGATTTAATGGTCTCAGTTTTTTATTTAATGAAAGGCTAATATAGGGCTAATTCTTCATTAAAACTCAGCATAATTTTTTTTGTCATTAAATGTTAATTACTACCCTAGATTTGGGAAAAGACTGACGCATTGGCGTGATTTTTGTCTAAGATATATGTTTTATTGCTGATTATAGTGGGAGGAATGCTATACATGCATGTATATTTTTAAAAATAACAAGACTGTAAATCCATTATGCTACATTTTCTTTTTATTCCAGCATATAAACATAATCAAGATTGTGACAACAGGTAAACAAGTCCCTGTCAACCCTGAAATCATTACTAATAGACCACTGCTGCTCAGCTATAATTTACACATTTTTCAATCAAGTATTATATAATGATAAAATTTGGTATATAACGCATAAACGACTCATTTTTGCACCACATTTACAGAAAAACAACTATCAGAAACGCAGAGAAAAAAATTGCCCTTTAATCCAGGGCTCTGACGGCTTGAGCAGGGAGTTAACAGGCAGACCCCCTTAGCTTACAAATATTAACTACAGATGGAGTTTTGAAGTTGATAGCTGCTATGTGGGCATACATAAAATGTTTTATGTGACAGCTGGGTACAGAAAGGGAAACCCACACGAGATTATCGCTGCTGATAAAGCAGAATTTAGCCTTTTTTTCTGAACACTGCAGGAATTTTTTGATTTAGAATTGAAGCTGAAGTCACAACAGTCATTTAGCTTTTTGGTGGATTAGAAACAGGATCCCTGGGTCAAGTGGAAGCTTGCTAGGACTGCAATCGGCTCCTTTCAGACATTTCTCCCGATTCCCTTCATTTCACTGGAATACTTACCGTATAAATCTTAACATCTATGAACTCCATTATGAGTTAAGGACTTTGCATCATTACTTTTGTCTTGCCTTCCTGTTGCGCTAAGCATTGATGGCCATGGTTACTATTGATTTCATAGTGCCACCTGCAACACTTGATGCTTAACTGCTTTTGTCAGCTAAGGTAATGTGATTCACATGTTTCCTTTAAAGAATAAACTGATGCTGGCTGTTTGATGAGTTTCTTCTCCCCTTTCTCTTTTCCTTTAATAGTCCAGCTGAGTCAAACCAAGCACCCTCTCCCTCCTCTTACAGAGTCATCATCTCCTACAGTATATGGATCCACGGTCCCACAGCTTACATCCTCGCACTTGGGAACTATTCTTATTGCTGTTTATTAGCAGGCGTTCTCCTTGGGGTTTCGATTAGCTTTCACTGCAGAGAGCAAGACGCCGCTGGAAGTGCCACATGAGCCGTGACCAGCTGATCGACAGGGGCAGAGGGGACTTTCGCAGCTAAAAGGGTGTGATCAAGTTCAAGACAGGGGTAGAAATTTGTGGACGGGTGGATAGGTGGGAAGGAGAGGAGCTTGATAATGTGGTGTTAGGAATACGATATGAATGATGTAAGGATGTCGGATTGGAGACTCATTGGTAGGATATAATAAAATGAAGGGATGAAATTACTGCATGATATGGGAATAGGCTTAAGGTCTCTGCAGAGGAGACATATCAAATCAACACATTTTATCACGCAGTAACGCTTATTTTCATCTCTAAACATGGACTTTATACGGTCAAGAATACAATTACTTTGAATCGTCTCAGCTTTGTTATCACAGATTAAAGCATTTCTTACATAACAACAATGAGACGATAGACATCACACACATGGATACCAGCAGACAGAGAGCAACCAGGGTCAGACGGATAAGATGACCGATGTGCAGAGACATGATGCAGCGCAGTCACACCTGACATGGCAGAGGCCACACTGACAAATCATCACTCTGCTTAAATGTGCCGCCTCCTGCTGACCTCCGTGCCCTCGTCTTTGCCCATTTATACTCCCATTCACTGTCAGCTGCAGAGCAGAATCCCGCCGACTGATAAGAACATCTCAGCCCGTCTACAGCTGAATGCTGTGAACGTTGTCTTGTGGTTGGTTTGTGTTTCACTGCTGAGGTTATTGGTTAAGCCGCAGTTTTGGTAAGATGATACATTCCTGGAATAAACTTTGCAGTTAATAGAGTTATCTGAGAGCTTATTATTAATGCTGATGAAATGCCATCTGCTAAATGTTTATCTGGGTTATCTATTCTGTACTTTGAGTGAAAGACTGATTTGTTAATTTGTTTGTTCTCTTTACCTCACCTGCGTGTTTTAGATCATTAATAAACATTAAAAACAGAAAAAATGCATTTAATAAGTATAAAAAAGACATTTTCAAATTTTTCAGTTGTAGTATTTTTTCCAGCCAAACAAACCGGGCCCAACCGAAAAAAAGAAACCCCCCTTTTTTTTTTTTATTAACAGCAATTTAATTTCAGCTAAACTTATTATAAAAACATACTTAAATAGAACTGATTGGACAACTTAAAGTAGGCAAGAAAATCCCAGAAAATAAATAATACTTCAATGATTATGCGTACAAACCCTCCAGTTTGTTTGAAAAATGTGGAAAACAATAGTGGGTCAAAACTCCTCTTATAATCAATCATTGACTCTGGTTAAAACTTTATATATTTGAGCCTGTAAAGGTTTGGAGATGTGTTCAAACCAACTTAATATTTCTATGCTTTTCATTTGTGTTTTATTCTATTACTTTCTAGTACTTATTGAGCTTGAACTCCAGGAGATGATTGCCTCCTATTCTTCTCAAACTACATCTTTTTCCTAATAAAAAAAACTACAAACTTCCTTACAATCTTTACCTGATATTAAAATTCTATCCACTAAACACATTTTAAGACAATTTACCAGCTTTTAGAACCACAATGATGAATTTAAGAAAACAAACCAAATTTATTCCTGAAAAAAAATATTTGCAATTTAAACAAAGATTAAAATAACATGTATGTTTTTGTTGTAATGTAATTAAGATATATTTGCTCTAAATCATGTTATGAATAAATTCAAATAGAAAATAAAATATCTTGCATGATAAAATAAGCGAAATATGCCTATAATCATTAAGGTTTACCCTATTCAGCCTTTTTTTGTAGAAAATAACTTCATTTATAACTAGAAGCCTGAATGTTCTTTATCACAGTGCAAACAGCTTATTTTATTCACCATTCATTAAGTTCTGGTTTCATACATTCACCTGATGATCTCGTTGCATGGGCCATCTTACCTGGCTTCTTTGGCTCTGGCATGTCTCTCTCTGTTCAACAGGAATCCTCTGAAGGTGCCTTCCTTCTTGCTTCCCAGTGGAACTGCTGGTGCGTCTCAACATCCCATCCTTTTATGAGCTTGCTCCCCTCGCCACCACCGCCGCCATCCACCCCCTGGGTGGAACAAGACAGCAGGAGATCGACAGAATGGCTGTCACTTGAAACCTTGGCAGGAGCTGTGAGGCTTAAGGAGGACGGAGGAAGACGCCACGAGGGGAGAAAGTGGTTCGGCGCCATAAAGAAGAGTCCATCCCAGAGGAAAAACCTGCCACATGATTACCTGATTAGGTCCTTGAGGCAGACCATTAATAAACTAACAGATACTTCTCATCTCCTGACAGTTTGACTGAAGAGTCCCAGGCTGCAGATTTGTCTTTTGTGTTTATTAGCGAAAAATGAGAAATCATTTGGTTCTACTACAATCTGCTATTGTTTGTTTATCAGTCTCTGAAAGGATTCAATTAAATTCAATATCAAAACCTAAAAAAAAAAATGTGGAAAGGTTGCATAAACTTGCAAAACTATTTACACCTTGAATTTATGTCCAAGTGAAAGACTCTGCCTTTGCAAATCAGACATCAAAAAATGAGCACAGTGTTTTATTAAGGGTATACACTCACCGGCCACATTATTAGGTACCCCATGCTAGTAACGGGTTGGACCCCCTTTTGCCTTCAGAACTGCCTCAATTCTTCGTGGCATATATTCAACAAGGTGCTGGAAGCATTCCTCAGGGAGTTTGGTCCATATTGACATGATGGCATCACACAGTTGCCGCAGATTTGTGGGCTGCACATCCATGATGCGAATCTCCCGTTCCACCACATCCCAAAGATGCTCTATTGGATTGAGATCTGGTGACTGTGGAGGCCATTTGAGTACAGTGAACTCATTGTCATGTTCAAGAAACCAGTCTGAGATGATTCCAGCTTTATGACATGGCGCATTATCCTGCTGAAAGTAGCCATCAGAAGTTGGGTACATTGTGGTCATAAAGGGATGGACATGGTCAGCAACAATACTCAGGTAGGCTGTGGCATTGCAACGATGCTCAATTGGTACCAAGGGGCCCAAAGAGTGCCAAGAAAATATTCCCCACACCATGACACCACCACCACCAGCCTGAACCGTTGATACAAGGCAGGATGGATCCATGCTTTCATGTTGTAGACGCCAAATTCTGACCCTACCATCCGAATGTCGCAGCAGAAATCGAGACTCATCAGACCAGGCAACGTTTTTCCAATCTTCTATTGTCCAATTTCGATGAGCTTGTGCAAATTGTAGCCTCAGTTTCCTGTTCTTAGCTGAAAGGAGTGGCACCCGGTGTGGTCTTCTGCTGCTGTAGCCCATCTGCCTCAAAGTTCGACATACTGTGCGTTCAGAGATGCTCTTCTGCCCACCTTGGTTGTAACGGGTGGTTATTTGAGTCACTGTTGCCCTTCTATCAGCTCGAACCAGTCTGGCCATTCTCCTCTGACCTCTGGCATCAACAAGGCATTTCCGCCCACAGAACTGCCGCTCACTGGATGTTTTTTCTTTTTCGGACCATTCTCTGTAAACCCTAGAGAGGGTTGTGCGTGAAAATCCCAGTAGATCAGCAGTTTCTGAAATACTCAGACCAGCCCTTCTGGCACCAACAATCATGCCACGTTCAAAGTCACTCAAATCACCTTTCTTCCCCATACTGATGCTCGCTTTGAACTGCAGGAGATTGTCTTGACCATGTCTACATGCCTAAATGCACTGAGTTGCCGCCATGTGATTGGCTGCTTAGAAATTAAGTGTTAACAAGCAGTTGGACAGGTGTACCTAATAAAGTGGCCAGTGAGTGTATATTAGCATACTAGGTGAGGAATAAAAATAAAGTATTTCCACAGTTACTTGAACTATTAACTAATCTGAGATTTGGGCATGGGGTCTATCAGGCCTGGGAGAGAAACTGAAAAACTGAAGAAAAAAAAATCAAAAATCATTTTTGGCATCTACTTAATCATATTTAGTTACTTTAACACAATTGTTTATGTCCTACCCTGCTAACATGACAAAAAATAAAAAATAAAGTAACTAAATATTATCATTTTGAGAAATGAAAAGTTTTATTAAGTCTGTTTTAAACCGCAAAAAAATAAACATTTCTTAATAAGGAAATAATAATGTACGTATTTAAAAAAACAAAGATTACTGTGCTTTAAAATTCTTAAATTTAGTTTAAATAATTATACATAAGCTGGTCAGAGAATAAAGCATGGTTTCTTCTTATTTAATATCAGAACCCAAATAAAAACACAGCGCTATGAATATCTGGTCTTAGCTGCATATATGGATGTAAAAGTATTTTTTTCTCTCTGTATTTTCCACCTTTGAGCTGAGATGTGATGCACACAGGACCAGGAGAGCATCCTCTTTTAGCTTTGATGGACTTTTGTTTTTTATGTTTAAAACAAGGCCAAGAAGGTGATACCCATTTTTCACATTCGGTAAAAGTAGGTCAAAGAGAGTCATTTATTTTCCCAAAACACCTGACATGAGGAGGCTTTGATGTTTCTAAAAGTAGTCACTGACATGGTTTTCACAAAAACTGCCATGTTTACAGCATTTTAGAGGCAGTTAATGCAATCTAAAGATCTATACTATATGATTGACTCCTCCACACTGGAAAAACGATCTAGAAATGAGTAAAAATTTCTTAAATTAAGTGAATTTACCCTTAGTTTGAGCAGGTAAATGAGATAGTTTGCCAATGGAATGAGTATTTTTACTCTCAAAATAAGATAATTAGATCATATGCACTTGAAATAAGTCAATGCAATTGTGTTTTCTTATTTCAAACGTAAATTGTCTTGTTCCATTGGCAAAATGTCTCTTTTGTCTCCCTAATCCAAGAACAAATGAACATATTTTAAGAAAAAAATGACTTATCTAGATTTAAATTTTTTCCAATGCAGACAAAGGCTTCAGGATTATTTGATTTAATAATTGATATAATGTAAAAAGTATATAGACTTTTTAATCATAATAAGTTGCACAATTTGACCAAATCATAATGCTTTCACATTGCAGATCAAAATGAAAAAGAAATTTAAAGATGGAGACATTCCAGGTGTCTTTGGCAAAAAGGTAAGGAGGGAGAAAATACTTTGATTAGAGGAAGGTAGAACGATAGACCAGGAGGGTCACAGGTCAAGGGGAATGATGTTAATATATGTAGTGAAGATTTTATGGTCAAAGAAAGAGGATGATGCAAACCAACTAATAACAGAGGAAAGTAGGACTCAGAGTCCAGGAATCCAGCCTCTCTAACTAGACCACCAGAAATGTAATTATTCTCTGTATTAATTCCAGTATAGAGATGTTTCATTTGGCTCACTTTTTAGATATTTTGCTTCCCATGCACATTTCCATAACATCACGACATTTGTTTGGAGTCTGGAGTTCCTTTCCTACCCGTGATAGTGCCTTTAAGAAAAAATTGCTTTATTAACTGCTTTTATTAGGCTCTTGTGGGTTTTATTTATTTATGATTTTTGAAATTAGGGATGATGAAATAGGATTAGAGAGGGGGAAGACATGCAGCAAAGGTCAACAGGGCTGGAACTGAACCTACAATGGCAACATTGAGGACCAAAGACTCTCAACATGGGTCGCACGCCCAACGCCTGGGCCACCATTACACCCATTTTACCAGCTGCTCTGGTTGATAGTTAATGACATACAGCATCAAGTGCAGGAGTCCTATGATAAAAATGATTTGACCACTTGGCAAACTTTTGGCACATTTGGTCGAATTGTGCAAACTGGTACAATGGTCCATCAAATCTATTGTGGATAATTCATGCATTAGGTGACTCACTCCAGTTTTTGTTGCAGCTATGGTTAGAAATGTTGATGAATACATCCTTATGTTTTGAAAAGGACTTCAAATGTGGTTGCTTTTTACTGTTCATTTAGGAAAGTCTATTACTCAAGCTCAAAACTTAACAGTTCAATTTAGACCTCAGTTGTGTAGAAATCCCTCCTTAAACCCTCAGGGCTTAACCTAACTTAACGGATATGCATGTATTGTGGCAATCATTCAGTGTTAGCACTGATCACTCCAAAACATAAACCAAATAATTTCACCTTCTTTTAAAAATAAGCTTGCTACAACATGTTCTGAAGCAAAAACCTTCAGAAAGACTAAAGAAATAATCAAAACAAAACAGATTTTGGTCAAAACGTAACAGTTTTGGGAAATTTGTGTTTCTTTATTTGAACCAATTGTAAATCACATCTATACTTCTAAAACATTTTGCAGAGTAGTGGACAAAAGATCAGTATTTTTGCTGGGATTTCAGTTTTAAACTAAAAACAAACAAATACTTTCACAGTTTAGTTCTTTTCTTGTTGAAAATGCTGTTAATGTCTGTCTAGTTTATTTTGGCAGAACACCTCAACTGATTTTAGTCCTAATGGACGCATTTGGGCTCTGCGGTTATTACTCCATTAGCATATTTGAAATCTGGGTTGAGTTTTGAAATTAGCTGAAAGCATATTCCAGCATTTTTCTGTGTCAGTGGGAGACTCGAAACTACATATCAGAGACTCATGGGAGAGATCTGCATTCCGAGAAGCCAAACATGAAGTTCAAGCATCCTCCCCAGCGCAGCAGGCCTCATTTTTTAAACAAGCTGAGGAAGAAATTGAGAGGGCGGAGAAGAGAAATACAAAATGATGCTAAGTAAGCATCTGCCATGTGTTCTTGTAATAAGGGCTTAGACCATTGCATTTGCTCCTGTGATGCTGCAGGGATTTGTAAGATAGAGTTTGTAGTCGAGCATTCACAGATATGGTGGTGTTCTGTCCAACTTTTATCAATGATTTAATAACAGAAAAAGGCAAAGTGCAAACATACTTCAAATACAATATTTGTATAAGCCACATAGTCTAAAGGAAGGGGAAAAAGTAGCGCCTGCATGCTGCACAAACAAAATATGCTGCACAAGCAGACATGGTGCTAACACACTAACATGAAACACCTGCATAGGAAAAAAGCTTCAAGTTGCACAAAGTGAATAAAAAACAGCAGTAAGTTAAGAAAAACTACAAACTAGCTCTGCATGGCTGACGGCTCCATACCACTAGT